AGGGATTTACAATTTGAGATGCAAGGTATATACATGAGGGTTTCCTTGTTTGGATTATTTCGCTTGACGTACCTATGCTCATGTTATAATTTCCTAAATACTAAAATCCTCTTATATTTACAAGGTATATACATAAAGGTATTTAAAAATTTGAGATACAAGGTATATACATGAGGGTTTCCTTGTTTGGATTATTTCACTCGACGTACCTATGCTCGTGTTGTAATTTCCTAAGTACCAAAAACCATTATTGCTAGGATAAATGATTCTATATTTTTATGTATTAACTGTATTTTTCATATACAATGAGCCCTCTCCCTTGGGGATGGTTGTGATGTTGCTCGCTAGCATATTGACGCTCGTTGTCCCTCCCCCTTTTAGGTGACGAGCCAAGTGCCCGGAGAGTCGCAAGTTGATGGTGATGCACTTTAGCTTCAGCTGTCTATTTAGTTATATTTTATTTATGGAGCTCCACTATAGACTTTATTTAGACATTTGAGGACTTTATTCTAGATGTTGTAAAGGTTGTGTGCATTATTTCCTTTACTCAGACTTGTTGTATTTGAGACTTGTTAAGAACTCCAGTTTATTCATTTCAGACATTGACTTTGTATTTCTGTATGTTGGATGATGAAATATTATTTTGATCTCTATCATTTCATCAGTTATCTCTTGTATTATCTTTTACTTGCTTTTGTACCTATACCTGTTATTGACTATACTAGAGTGATAGAATTGTGATGGTGAAACATGTTATTGCACGGTGTGGTGCATGGCAGGTTTGACATTCTTGGTTTCACCTTAGACCGCAGCCTTGTGTGAACCCAGAGGCATCACAATTGGTATCAGAGCTCTAGTTCTAGTATCTTTAGAATCATCCTGTGTCGATTCATGTATAGAGTCCGTAAGGATTCCCTAGTATGAGTGAGGACGATATATGCGTATATCTCAAATTTTGAGAATATTTTTTTTATGACAACTATTTTTATGTTGATTGAAGGTATTTACGTGAATACTATGTATTATAAATTCGTATTGTGATACGTTGTATATATATATATATATATATATATATATATATATATTGAAAGATAAGTAATTTCATTAATATCATAACACTAGTACATATTTACAAAATTGGCTAGATAACACTAAAACAATCTTTAGGAACTATAGAGAGGGGAGAGGACCCTGACTGTCACCCTCAACTAAAGAAACTAAAGAAAATTCAGTATTACCCAAAACCAAAACAGTGAGAAAATAGTACTTCCCCTTACATAAATAACTCAAAACACTAAAAGAGATCACTGCTAACTCAACTAATTGTATCCAGGCTCCAATTTGCTAGAACCTCCTCATTTCCCGCCTTCCAGTTACAGGTACGAAGCAGAACATTAATATCCTCATAAAGTCTCCTAAACACCATAACCTTATGCATCCTCTGATTGTGAAAGATCCGACGATTTCTTTCTTGCCAGATATGCCACACAGTAGCACTTAAAACCAATCTTGCCAGTTTGAATGTTCTATCCCTCACCTTGAATTTCTGTTGAATGTGCAGCGCTTCAGATGTGAGGTCTTGGATAACCGTAGGATCCAACCGCAATTTTAGTTTACAGAGCTTCCAAATAAAAGCTGTGAACGGGCATTGAAAGAAAAGATGGTCTCTAGATTCCTTCTCACCAGAGCAAAGAACACAATCTTCCACTGAGGTGATACCAAATTTTGAAAGCCTGTCTCTAGTAGCCATTCTATTGTATATACATTTAATCAAACAGCAGGCCATTTTTGGGTTTGCTGAAGGGAACCAAATCACATTGTAAAGATCAAAACTATTGAAATGAGTCCTAACTTGATCCCAAGCCGAAGCAAAGGAGAACTTACCACTAACTTCAGGAAGCCAAACCCATTGATCACTTTGTTCAGAAATTTTGATTTCAGCTATTGCATTCACCAGAGGCATAAGACAAGGTAAAGTTATATTCCATTGAGAATTTTGAATGATGTGAGAAACTGTCCAATTCTCAGTGCTAGTGAGCTGAGGAGTAGGATGTTGTATTAACTCAATAATTCTGCCTTCATGAATCCATGGGTCAAACCAGAGTGAAGTAGATTCCCCATTTCCAATAGATTTCCGTATGCAATTCAAGGCTTTGAATTTGAGACCTGAAAGATACTTCCAAGTGCCAGAGTCCATTAAGTTAGAAGAAGAATTCCAGAAATTAACATCCTTGATATATCTTAAATTCATCCAATTAGTCCAAAAAGACACCCTTAAAATTTTAGAGTTACAAGAAATATACTAACATTTAAAAAATTACCACCAACACATGAAACATAGAATTTACAACTACCAAACTTAAAAGTAAATTTTTTTAAAAACTCTTTCAAAATTTTAAAAATTATAAATCACACCCTCAAAGTTTAAAACCACAAAAATGGGCTAAAATTTTAAAACTTGGCAAAGAAAAGTGTAATTGTTTGTATATATATATATATATATATATTAAAATTTCTAATTTAGGGATTTACTATCCATTTTCAGCATCTAAGAATAGTCTAAGTTGATACTGGTAAACAAAAATAATAAGAATTGATTAAAAACATCCGGTATATATATATATATATATATATATATATATTAAAATTTCTAATTTAGGGATTTACTATCCATTTTCAGCATCTAAGAATAGTCTAAGTTGATACTGGTAAACAAAAATAATAAGAATTGATTAAAAACATCTGGTTAATGGATAAATTTTTTAAAAATATTATAGATTAAAAATTAACGGCACTATATAAATTAAAGTAATTTTATATAATTTTAGTAATAAGTTGGGGTAGCCAAAATACATTCGTAACATTAATTGATAGATGTTTAAATCCATAGAAATGATAAAACACTATAATATTATACCTTAGCATTAATTGATTTTAATTTAGAAACTTTAATCTTTGACGTTAATAATATTTATAGGGTAAAAGAATACAAGGAATTACATATGGAGAAACTATTAGAATATTTAGGGATAACTTTAAAAGAATTGAGTTATTTCCATTACAAATGGGAAAGTGATAGAAATAAATCTAAATTCAGAAAACGTCAATGAATCACTTGAATTAGCATTAACATAAGACATATCTATTAATGAAGCACTGAATGAGTTACATTAAAAAATAATTTAATAACTTTATCCTAATCAAAGAAAAAATCTCCATGGAAGACATAAGAAAAATTAGTAAGTATTCATAAATTCCATACTGTATTCTTCAAATTAAATATTAATATTATAATCTAAGAGAAATTGGTAATGAATATGCAGGTATTTAGTTTAGATCTTTATGGAAAATGACAAGGATAGGGCAAAGGTAATATTATTGAAATAACAGAAATTCTTATTGGATGCACATCAGAAGAATTCATTTTAGAGGAAAATAAAGAGATAGCTTCTAATTTATTTAAGTAATAAATTAGGAACACAAAGAATTTTATATATATGAAATTAATATTTATTCTCATTGAAATAGAAAAAAAATCAAAGTCTATATTTTGAGCAGTTTGTGTTGAACATCATAAGTATATTTGACTTCTTTGTAAAGTTAAATGAGATGATAAAAAATTAACGAGCCCAGGAAAGATAGTAGCATAAAAAATACAAAATTAGCCTAATGTCACAATTGATGTAGATGATGAAGACAATACTCTAGAATTGCCCGAGAAATGATAAATGATAAACCTAAAGAAGGATTGATTAACTCAATAAAAAATAAAATAGAAGAAATAAAAAACAATATTTTCTGAATATTTTATATAATAGTTTAATTATTTTGAGTGAAATTAGGAATCTTTAGAAGGGAGTTTTATGAATTTTTTTCAGTACTTTTATATTGTTATGTGGATATTTTTATCATATAAAAGTATACTAGAGTTAGCATTAATCTTTAATTTATATTTTTTTATGAAGTCTATCAATGATTATGAATAAACTTCATATTCTCTTTTGCATCGTTTTAACATACTTTAAATCAATCATTTTGTCATATTGGTTTTAAATATTCACCTTCCTTGTATAACATTATTTTAATATTTTCACTTTGCAATGCTATACTTTCTCAAATAAAGCTTAGTTTCATATCGGTCAAAGATAATATGAAAATTTAAATTATTTTTAAATTATATTTGTTTTTTGTCAGATATCAACATGAAAATTTAAATAGAGTGTATCCCATTTAAACAAACATAAAAAAATAATTGGGATGTAAGAGTTTAAAGAAAAGAATGAGCACAAACTGCCAAAAATACTTAATCATGGTATTAAATCACGTGCATTGCACGTGTGTAAAAACTAGTATATATATATATATATATATATAAATATCAAAACGAGGATGTGGTCGAGGTAAAACTCGTACCTGGAGAGCTGGGCATGCAGATCCGAGCCACAGCAGACTCCACAATATTTGATCGACTTCATGACACCGTTAGCAACAAGATTTTACAACACTCAAGGAGCAAGAAGTGTATCCGTTTCCGTCAGCAGTACCACTTTCAAGAGTTCTATCACCGGTTGTATCCATCGTGAAAGTAAAGAGGCAATACCAATGAGGGCACTACCACCACAATCAGCTGTTTATAGAGCCGTGGAGCAGGAGGTTTAGCTCTGAAAGAATAAAAAAGATATCATACAATGAGAGCACCAGAGTTTCAAAGCGCACCAACTTCATTTACAACCTATAAGGGAAGGAGTATGTGAAAATTCCTTGAACGTCGACTTAGTACCAAGCAGAAGTTAGATGTATTCAGTACTGAGGGCATCGCTGGAGGATAGCAACAACATCCAGATTTCTGACGGGTAGCAATTATCACCTATTTAGGAGAATTTTAGTCACTACTTCAACAAGCAGTTAAAACTAGTCTAAGAGAAGCAGGGAGATATACCCGTAGTGAAGGAAGAAATCAAATCAGAATAGTGACAATGACAATGACAAGAGAACTATTACGGAATCTAGAGGATCCTAGCAGCGGGAGAATGATTTTAACCCAGTAACAAGGACAATATAAGAAAGGAGCACAATATGATTTGAGAGCGCTGAAGTAGCACAGAGTTTGGAGTACATGTTACAATCACAACAAAAGAATTATCGCAGTACACCAGCAGGGAGCCAGCAAGATAGAGGTCACGGACGACAGCCTCAGAGTCGTAATTTCAGCCAGCAGTGGGGAAATAGAGGCACTACTTGTTAATCCGAGGATTAAGGGTTAGCATGCCATATTTGCATTTTCCAGGAGATTTGCATTATCCAGCAGAGTCTATTCAGTAATACCGCGTGATCATGGTACGAGCGGAGCTTTATTCATGAATTTCTTTTCAGCTCGGATCTAATTTGATTTAGAAAATTTGCTTATCTTTCATACCTCTGTTGGTAGGCTTCAGCTTGTAGCGCATTCTTTAGATATTCCGTTGTCAGTATCTACTCCTCTTGGGGAGGTGTCCACTCTATCTATAGGAGATATGTCATTAGACTAGACGAATCAGATTTTGTTGTCGATTTGATAGCTTTGTATATGTCCGGGTTCGATATTATCCTTGGTATGGTTTGGTTATCCTCCTACCAGGCTAGTATTGACTGCTTTGTGAAGATAGTTAATTTGCGAGCGTCCGATGGGTCCGAGATGATTGTAGCAACCTCTCAGGGCAGCCGTTTTGCGGAGTCGTTTCTGGCGTATATCGAGGAGGTGCTGTGACGAGATCTGAGTATTGATTTATTAGAGACTAGAGTTGTCTCAGAGTATCAGGATGTCTTTCAGGATATACCTGGGTTACCTCCTGTGTGAGAGGTCGAGTTTTGAATTGAGTTACAGCCGGGCACAATCCCGATATCCTGCACACCCTATCGTATGGCACCAGCTGAGATGAGGAAGCTTCAGACCCAGTTGGACGAGTTGTTAGCTCAGGGTTTTATTTGTAGGAGTTATTCTCCGTGGGGCGCACTGGTCCTCTTCGTGAAGAAGAATGATGGTAGTATAAGATTGTGCATTGATAATAGAGGGCTGAACAAGGTCACTATCCGGAATAGGTATTCATTATCTAGGATTGATGACTTGTTCGACTAGTTACAGAGAGCGCAATATTTCTTGAAGTTTGATCTTCGTTCTGGTTATCGTAGTTGCAGGTTTGGGAGATGGATTTTCCTAAAGCCGTTTTTCCTAATTCGATGTGAATCTCTAGAGTTTCTAGTCAGGCCATTCAGGTTGACTAATGCACACGTGGTATTCATGAATGTAATGAACCGGGTTTTTCCGTCCCTTCATGGGCCAGTTTGATATTCTCCTATTTTTGAGATCGGAGGCAGAACACGAGTAGCATTGCAGACTCTTCAGGAGCATCAGTTATATGCTAAGTTCAGCAAATGCGGGTTTTGGTTTTTAAAAGTTAGATTTCTCGGCCACGTCAACAGCAGAGAGGGCATAGTAGTGAATCCAGCTAAGTTTACAGCAATTCTTGATTTGGAAACGCCGAAGATGATGATAGAGATTCGAAGCTTCTTGGGTTTAGCCGGTTAATACAGACAGTTCATCTAGGATTTCTTGAAGATTTTGAAGCCACTAACATGCCTTACGAAGTCGGGTGTACAGATCATTTGGAGCACGGAGTGCCAGAAAGTCTTTGATACCTTGAAGGCTAAGTTGACTACAGCATCGGTTTTGACTATTCCGAACAGCGACAGAACATATGATGTTTACGCAGATGCATCATTGGCAGGTTTAGGAGGCATCTTGATGCAGACTCAGAGGGTAGAAGTATATATCTCATGGCAATTTAGAGTGTACGAGCAGAACTACCCCACTCATGATTTAGAGTTAGCAGCAGTGATATTTGCACTGAAGTCACGAGACATTACTTGTATGGAGCATAGTTTGTATTGTTCATCGACCACCAGAGTTTAAGTATCTTTTCTCCCAGAAGGAACTCAACCAGAGGTAGCGATGGTGGATTGAGTTTATTGAGAACTATGAATTCACGATTCTGTACATCCAGGAATAACTAAGATGTACAAAGACCTAAAGAGACACGTTAATAACTAAGATGTACAAAGACCTAAAGAGACACGTTTGGTGGAGTGATATGCATAGGAAGATTTCAGAGTATGTAGCTAAGTGTCTTATCTGCATAGGAAGATTTCAGAGTATGTAGC